ACGGTCCGGCATATTAGATAGTACCAGGGTACGTTCCGGCATATTAGATAGTACCAGGGTACGTTCCGGCATATTAGATAGTACCAGGGTACGTTCCGGCAGTACCCAGGGAGACATAGACCCTGGCAGCGTGAGTGACGTATAATGTAAACAATTTCTTACTGATTGCATTGTGCAACCATTGAACCAACCGTATCTACGGATTAGGGGGATTTCACTGTCAATCATCAGGAGTCGTGTGATGCAAAGCAGTCTCGATTGGCTATAAACACATCAGCTGAACATCGGTCAATTATGTGTATGTACGGTATAAACCGGATGAATAATGGCCCACTGCGTGTTTCACAATAGTGGCCTATACTTTATTATAGGTACCACATGACATAGACGGCTTGGTGGTTTTCAACATAATCTGATTTCTCTAATTATGCATTTCCCTTTATATAATCTGCCACCCTAACATCTCCCATTCCTCTACCTTTTACCATCCTCTGCCATTTTCCCTTCTTCATTCTTTCCTTCTCTTTTACCTCTTTCACTCGCCACCTTAATTTCCTGACCTCTATATACTTCCTCTACCTTCTCTCCTCCTATATTTACCCCCTCCTCCTTGATCTCTGCTACTGTTTTCTATATCCTTCCTCCAAATCTTGTACCTTCTCCCCCTGGCTTATTATTTGGTGAAGCACATTATATGTGCTTGATCATATTCACTGAACCATGTTGTACAATCTAAGCCAATGCAAAGTAGAAATAACCCAATTAACGTATTTTCATATAAATTATAAATTTTTATATTTGAAACTAGGATGGCTTCTCAAACAGGAGATGATATGGAAGGTTTGGATCCCACACAAGTAGAGCTTCTTGCTGAGCAGTGCATTGTTGTTGATGAACAAGACCGGAAAATTGGTGCGGATACAAAAAAGAGCTGCCATTTGATGGAGAATATTAACAAAGGTATGGAGTATTCTTGGTTTTTATCCCCATTTCAAAATGTTTACCTTCCCTCCAATACGCCCTCCTTTATACTGTCTCGGTAATTATGTTTATATGTTAATTGCTCTTCTTCTTCTCTCCTCCTCCCCGCTTCCTCTCTGCAGTCTAGATGTGCTATTACTGCTATAGCTATAATTAACTGTGCACTGATCAACTGAATCTTACCATGAAGTTGGACGTGTTCAAGGTCTTGCACATATTTTTTATTTTTTTGATAGTCAACCTGCTTTAATTAGAAACAGTACTAATTTAAATAAGGTTATTATCTCCTAAAGGCATATTCACGGAATATATACAGTTGTTTCACTGAATAGCCCCATTAGACTCACGCTATTTTGAGAATAGCACTTCCTAAATTGCAGAATCCAAGCATAAGCATCACAGCTCATTTTGAGTGATATATGTAATATTTGACTTTGTGTGCTTAGTTGTATGTTCAAGTTAATGAGGTTAATTTGATACAGAACTAGGTATGCTTTTGCTCCATGGAGTAGGATATTAAAATGTTTAGCTCAAAACTAAATATAAACAATAATGGTAGTATATAAAGTGTACCTACCAACTTCATTGAACACATGGATTTTCAACAATAGATTGAATGTGAATTTTTAAGAAAATCGGTAGTCCATTACCATCTAGTATATAGTGATATAGTATATAGTGATATAGTATATAGTGAGCATGGCCATGGGATCTAATTGAAATATTCTGCTGTATACTATTATGATATTTATTCTGTTTACTGCTGAAAATTGCAGGTCTTCTTCACAGAGCCTTCAGTGTCTTTCTGTTCAACTCTAAAAATGAACTTCTGCTTCAACAAAGATCTGATGAGAAAATTACCTTTCCAGGTACGGTACCAGGCTTAAATATGCAGGTTGTAGATTTGGGGACACCAAAAAGTATAGGGTATAAAGAAAAACACCTAGATGTTCAGGTTTAAATCAAATTGGCTCGTGGGACATAGTGAGAAAAATGTTAGCTAACGTTTGAGGTGTGAAATGTGAAAATGGTATGGTAAATTGTAGAAATAACTTGCTATACTTTTTCTAGACCCTAACTCCATGGATATGGATTATCCCCTAAAGTCACACTATATTTTGTTCTGTTCATAGGTTACTGGACAAACACATGCTGTAGTCACCCATTAAATTTTGAGGCGGAGCTGGCCCTTGATGATAATCTAGGTGTAAAAAGAGCTGCTCAGAGAAAACTTGAGCATGAACTAGGTATCAGTCAAGATCAGGTATGAGAATAAGGAATTTTGAGATTTTCTTAAAACCTTTAAAAAACAATTATTAAAGGTAATGGTGACGTTTTTTTGCAGAATCACCAGCTTTTCATTATATCTTTATTTTTCATCGTATCAAGATTCTATTGCCCATCGTGTTCCCAAAATATGAAATAATCGTTACTTATAACAGGACAAAAGAGATCGGATAGATACATGTTAACAACATTGCCACATGACAATGTTAATGGTAGTGGTAGTTGTTCCTTCGTCACAATGATCAACCTTTGGTAAAAGTCTATATTCACTAATATTCTGTAGTGTTATGCATACTAATTCATTGCAATACCAGTCCAAGATGTGAAAAAAGAATGCTTGCCTGCTTTTTCTTTCATATAACTATACATTTTCTCTCAATATTGAACTGCAGGTACCACTGGAAGCATTTCAGTATTTGACACGTATACATTATAAGGCACCTTCTGATGGCAAGTGGGGAGAGCATGAAATTGACCACATCCTATTTATCCAGAGAGATGTTGATGTGAAGCCGAATCAAAATGAAGTTCAGAGTACAAAGTTTGTCAGCTCAAATGAGCTGAGAGAATTTATAGGTAAATGTAAATTGATTAAAAGTTTATGTGTGAAAGTGTTTGGGTGAGCGAGGTCAGATAGCACTTACGTGGCCATAACATAACAATAATTTTTTTTTAATCAAATATGAGTTAGATAAAATATGAAAATATCTACAGTTACATAGTTCTGACTGGGTGAAATGTGGTATATGAATGTCAATAATTCGGTTATTTTGCAAGTTATTCACAAATTATATGTTTAAGCATTGCATTTCCCAAACGTGACAACTAATACCACTTTCTGTCCTCAATTGTGCTCACTGCAAAGCAAATCTTCAGAAAGAAGTTGTATTATGGCAAATATACAGAGTTGATATTAGATGAGATGGAATGTAGATAAATGCGTGTTAATGATAATGTTTTACATGGTATGTGCCTTGTTATACTTTCAGATAATTCAAAGGTTAGAGGAATTAAAATTACTCCATGGTTTGGCCTGATAACCCAAACGTTCCTATACCCCTGGTGGAAGAACTTGGCAGACATAGAAAGGTTTAAAGACCAGGAAACAATACATAAACTCGTATAGGTGCAAAATTTGTATAAATAGAATAAAATAGTTTTATTATATCATCATGCAAGGAGTACAAATTGTCAAACTGAAATGTAATATATTTCAATTATATTTTTACCTGATTTAATCTAATGTTTTTGTAAACATTTTAAAACATAAACAGAAAAGCATTTGTATTATGTAATGAATGAATTTTATATTTTCGTAAATGAAGGTTCGGCACTTATATGAATAATTCTGTATGCAATAATACATTGCACACCTATTTTTAGAACCTAGCCGAATATGAAATAATTCATCTCGTCGTTCAAGTCGTTAGGTTGAGTGCATACGTCATTGCTTGTTTTCAACGACTGATGTATAAGATTATTAAAAACCAGAGAAATCATTTATTTATTTCTGAAATGCATAATGGTTGATGCGTGCTCCACTTGTACATTAGTTGGCAAGAGCTATGCTATCAGGCCAAAGAATAAGATCAAAAGCCAATCGTGAATAAAATTTCGAATGTTTTATTAAGTTCCAGCTTTCCATATAGCTGTGCTTCCGTCGGTTATGTGCAGCTATAGAGGAAATTTGAAGTCCATAGCATAGCATAGAACCTAGCTGATAAATAAATTGGCTCCACCTGTGTAGCCCTTTGCACCAGCTACAGGGGTATATGACCCACAGTGCTGGGAAGTAGCAGTGAACCTTCACAGCATGGCAGACTGCCTGCTCGTAGCACCTTCAGTATTCAAATCAGAGATGGCTGCGTGTTTCGGTTAGTTTTTGTTCAATAAATGGACAGATTATGGTGAGGCAAGTTTAATTTGAGGATGGCAGGCTAAACAAGAACATTTATATTGTCAGCTAGGGTAGTTTTCTATTGTATTATCGGCTGCAGCTTAGCCGGTCATGCATAGATTCATTGCCATTTCCCAGCACTGTCAGGTGTATAGACCTGTGGCGGGAGTGAAGGCTACACGGGTAGAGCTATGTAATACATATACTTCTATATACTGTACATGAAGTAAATTTGATCCACGTGTTCACAAGTTCACAAATTGCCCGGTGTAGTGTGTATGCCATGATAAATTCTACCTGCCAATTTCACCATGCTTTCTGTGTTCCCTCAGGCAGGTTGTGCTACAGAATTTGAAGTCCATATACTCGAATGGTGTCTGTCCTGTCATATCAGTGCCACACTGAAAGCACCTTGCGAGGACAGGTATGCAGGAGCCTTGCTCCTGCAGATGTTGAACCATACGACGTTCTGCTGCTAGCGCCCTCTATTAAGAACAGCAAAAGTAATGTAACATTAGGCATCTTGTATATTGGCTTCGACATTCGTTAGTTACTCCAAATTCTGTTATGAATGGTACACAAAGGTTGATTTAAAAATATCAAACCAGAACTTGAAAAGATGAATCCGTACAATAATCCTTTCAGGGAGGACATCTTGCAGTGTCTGCACATAGAGTTGGTACTGATCCCTAAAGAGGAATTTGAAATATTTCAATCCTGCAATACCTTTTCTCGATCAGACAGTTCTAAAAATCTCTTCTTCTCTTTGCACTCTGCTGCAATCCTTGCTTCTTCAACCTTCAGCTCTTTCTGTCGCTCCTTTTTAGCTTTCTGTGCAAACCTCTTTCTTTCCTTCTCCTTTGCTGCTCTCTCCCTTTCCATCTCTTCTGTCAGTGAACTTGGAATCTTATGTGAAATATGGGTAGTTACCAAATGCTGAATGCACAACATATTTGATGCTGTGACACTGACACGCGTGCACGCACGCACGCATGCACGCACAGACTGGGCACATACCCCATAAGATTTAAATGTATAATTTGAAAGGCCGCACATATACGCGCCTGCAGACGAGCAGATCCAATAGAAGTTATGTGGCTAATTTCAATTAAATAATAAAATGGTGGCAAAATCGCAAGTTACTTGTGCAAAACAGTGCACAGCAGGTGCTAAACTTCACTAAGTAAATAACAAGAGCCGCAGAGCGTCTGGGCTCATCTGAGGTCTGTTGCTACGATTATAAACGTAAAATTTTGTTTGTTACAATTACGTTTTGTTAGGCGCAGATATGCAGACACGCAGTTGCGTACACATCATTGTTAGGACACGCCCACGATCGAGATGGAGGTAGGGGAGGGTGGGGAGCGGTGGGGGAAGGGAGGAAGGGCGAGGGGGGGGAGGGCGGCTCTAATAGCAAAAGCAGTTCACTCCTTTGTTAACAGTCAACAATTAAACCATGTTTAACCCTCCTCTTGAGGGTCAAAAGTTATCTGACACTTACTCTTCGCAGTCAGCAGAAAGTAGATTTCATGGTCCTTTCAAATAATGCCATAAAAATGCTAGGTCACCGCTGAAACAAAAAAGTTTTTCAATCGCCTCCGTCAGACCATGTCCTCAGAAAATGTCTAAATCTGCCCTGTGCCATTGACCTTTGACCTTGTGACCTCAATTTCGGCACAAGTGATGGCTTTTCCTACCATGATGCCTATACACGACTATCACGAGCAGCGTCGAGCCGTTTAGATTTGTGCCGCAATTCTGCATTTCCTCCCTATACCTTAAGTTAAGGAGTGAATGTTCCCCCTTCTTTTACACCTCTTGACCTTTGACCTTTGACCCCCAGCTTCGACATCCCAACTCGTTTTGACGATCCCCCCCAACGACCCGAATATCGTGACCGTACGTCGAGCGGTTAAGATTTGTGCCCAACTGTTGACGGACGCACGGACGCACGGACGGACGATCAAGCGATTCTACAAGCTGCATCTGACTATGTCAGATGAGCTAAAAACTTACTTGTGCTTCTCTGTAATCATATCTGTCAGGATATTTTCCCATAAATCTACGGAATTCGTTTCTTGTTGCTTTATCCTTCGAATTTAGAAATGGTGTTCTATCCTTCTTGTCACTGTCAAATGGCAACCGGCATTTAAATTTATTAGCAACAAGCAATAATAATACATGTATACAATGTATTATTAGCTCTTGTTAAGAATCATCCAACTGTAAATACATTTGCATTGTAATACATGTATGTATAAGTTAAGGTGGAACTGCATATTGAACCGATGATGGGAAAAAATGTATAGAGTAATATCAGATATTGCTGAATTACTCGAGTGACTAGTCCTCTGAATAAGAAGCATAACCAGTGTAATAAACCTTTCACAATAAGAAGCAGAAAATACTGTAACAAGAGAAGTGTGTATAAGCTTCTTTTCAAACCAATTTACCGTATACAGGGGTTGCTACCCACTTCCAGGAGCTGATTTACTACATGCACATGCCCCTCCTTTGCAGCAACATGTAGCAGTGTACTGTTTAGTTCGCCGAACGCTCCGTTAAGTATCTCAGCAAAAGCAGTCTGCTCAGGTGAGTGCGCAGCAGGGGAGGGTTGGCTCAATTGGTTAAGCAATTGATTCATTACTTCCACATTCCCAGTCTTGCAAGCCGTGTATAAACCATTCTTCAGTTGATGATGTTCCTCATCTGAAAATACAGGAATAAGAAATTAGCAGACAACTAAAAGTTCACAAGAATTATAAACATCACTAATGTGGCATAATGATACGCATCTCCATATACACTTTAATTTTGATTCAGAATGACTTTATTAAAGATCTACACACTATATCACGCTCTACGCACTTTATCATATAAATGTGCAAGTGGTAACATCACGGTTAGAAAGCAAACACTTGGCAAACAACTCACTGAGAATGCATGTGTCCGCCTGCTGTTGGCCAGCCGATGAAGTCACCGACTGTTTTTTCGGTTTATTACGGCGTCGTCGGCGTTTAGGTTTACAGACCATCTCCTGAAGACCCAGTGTGTCTATGCTCTCCTCTATAACTAGCATATCCATTTCACCATCATCGCTGCCACTAAGGATGCCTAGATCCTCTTTAAATATACGATATACACAAACAATATTTAGTATATATGTATATGTATGTATACAATGTTGATATTATGCCACACTTATATGAGCTACACAATGTATAATTTATCGATTGCCAGCAAACAGCTTAACAGTAAACAAAGTAACAGTAAGCTTTATCACTCACACCTTTATCTATATAAAATGTAAATTTTTGATACATTAAAAATATTTGTGTGCAGATAGAAACCAAAGTTAAGAAAATTAGCATTCAAGACACTAACAATAACCTCAGTAGATTTGGTTCAATAATTATCCTGATTATAGTGGCATGCGTGTGAATATTAGCAAATATATAAATGCATAAAATCCATGAGAAAAGATGTATGTTAAAGGATATATACTCAAACACATACCTGGTATCTCAGGATGGTCGCTTGACTGGTTGGCCTTGTTTCCCCCTTTCTGGCCAGATAAAATTGCAGAATCACTTACATCATGGGTCTCTGGCTTGACCCACAAGTTATGACGTTTCTTGTTGCCCAACAGCTTTCTAGGAGAAACTGGTAGATGACTTCTAATGTCAGCACCCTCACCTGTAACACATAAGTACTACATTTACCATGGAGCAAAATGCATATGCATTGCACGCATGTAGCACTATACAAACCAAGTGGCACAACACAATACTGCCAATCTATTGCTGCATAACTTCTACCATTACAACAACCAGGAGCACTTCTATTATTGACTAAATGGAAAAATATATATATATATACTGGACAAATTTCATACCAAATACTGTAAATTCGCATCAAAAGATTATTTAGACACTAATGCATATAATGGTGGAAGTATCAGTCATACCAAAGCACTCTATAGTTGACAAGTAACTGTGCACCCGTTTGATCTCACTGAGCGTAGGACGACGTGTCGGAAATGGTATCGTGCTAATGCGAGGGTCGTTCTTGTTGATGGGAGCATCTTTACCATGTAGGAACATGCCTCGGTTGTATCGTGGGGCTTGCAGAAATATTCTATCACATTTTGTAATTCTGTCCGACCAGCTCGTTAGCAGCTCCTTGACTTCCTGGTGTACACAGATATTGTTAGAACATACTCCATGACAGAATTCATCAATTCTTGGACATGCAAATCAAGTGATTCTAATGTTGGTTTCAGCAGTGCTAAATTAACAGTCATTGAAAATTTTCAGATGAAGAAGCTTAGAAAGCTTTACGCTACTTATCCTACAACCCAAGTGATGTAAATAAAGTCAAAAATATAATGCGTGAATGAAAACTGTTACCTCAGTTAGCATTGTATTATTACTTTAGAACTCAACAAAAGAGAATTAGAAGCATGCCTTACTGAAATACTCAAATTTTATTTAAGGTTCAAAAATCAATGTTCTAGTTGGAACACAGCCGCGTACCAGCGCAAGGGCAGCTTCATTGTATCTGCGCAAACTAGCTCCTGCTGATCGGGCTTTTCCATGAGCACCATCATACGTTCCCTGAGATGTTCCACGCTTCGCTCGTACAGTGTAACGATGAAAGGTCTTGTGCACCATTATCTCATCCCTGCAAGTTATCAGATTTACTGCTAAAGACATGGAGAATCAATAGAGAAATTAAATTTTTCATGGCAAAATCTAATAACTCTTTATCTTACGATTAATACTTCTGGTACACTATGAGATTACTATTGATCAACTCCTAATCCTAAATGCAACTTCCTACACTGAAAGTAACTTCCAAATGTAGAAATTAATTAGTAGGTACAATATACTATCTATTTCACATACTTGTCGAATATGCCAGCAGCAAAATGACCACCTCCTGCCATAATAATAGCCCAGTTCATGTGATCGGGAATATTTGCTATTATGTTAGCAAGGTCATCATTGCTAGGAGTATCCTAAATCATAATACATTCAACTGTTAATCGCTAATGTAGATCATGTTTCAATTATAATACCCATTATTACTATTAACCTATCAGAATTAAAGCAAGATTTTTAGCTGTGTTGTTTTATAATGTATAACATTCATCAAAGCGTTTGTAATTTTGCCATCAAGTGAAGAACTTAAATAGTAAAATCTATGCTACAATCATCTATGCTTAATTAATTTGTTTCTTACCTTTTTGCTATGTGTTATACATCTGTAGACAGCCAGCAGTTGATCAGACTTATTTCTAAGGAAAATTTTTGGGGTTCTGTTCATAATAGCCTGAGTTAATGGCATGCTTTGCTCCTCATTATTTATGGATCCCTTTTCATTGGTATCCATGCTCTTGGAATCACAGCCGAATAAATTGTCTGCAAGATATTTGCTAGAAGATCCGTCACCTTCTCCAGGCGATTCTGATTCTGAGTCATCGGTATCAGAGCCCGAGATGCTTGACACATCCCCTGTGAGTTAAGAGTTAAAACATTAGTTAATAAATTTAAAAAACAATAAAATGTGCTAAGGTTGATGAAGGTAGAGAATTAACATCACATATTACAAATAGACAACACATATTCAACATAGTTATATGCTGTAAAAAACAGCACACTGTAATTAGTGCAAAGCATGTCATGTACCATAAAATAAAAACCAACATTGCAAGCTAAAAATCAATGTCACCCAGTGAGCAGTCTTGCCACCTAGCATACACAATGTTGTAGAAAGAGAGATGGACCAGTGAACGTAAGCAATATATATCAGATCTGGTAAAATACAAAGATAGTCAAAACACTAAGAAAGTACTAAAAACTACATTTCCTGTTGGTAAGTGTCACTGGCATTTGTGGTTTATATGGCAGGAAAATGGTTGGTGAAAATAGCATTTCTATTCAAACTTCGTGAATTGTGGATATGCATAGAAAAAACAAGTAGGAATGGAATATATATCATGAATATATGTATGTTTAATGTAAGGTTAGACTTTATGTTTATTGATTTACAACTAAATAGGTAGACCAAGGCTAGTATGTGGAATTGTGTATCACATCATACTCCCCTAGTATTATTTCCTTCTGATTTTACATATGACAAAAATAGTTATAGCCCAATTGTCATACACTCCACGCAGTGTGATGATTTGCTGTTATCAACGTGCTGTGATAATGGCAAATCATCACAGTTCGTGGAGTGTCAATTGTCAAGGCAACATGAAGTTTTGTGGACTTAGACAATCAAGGTTTCCCTTGATATCTAGTCTCTGCCTACTTTGATTTAGTCAGACCCCAAAATTCCATGATACCCTCACAAAGAAGCAATAGCTATATAACGTAATTATGATATGAACACTATTAATTATTAGTGAGATGATATCAAGAGCTAATAATGCCAAGGTATTATTAGCTGTTGGCAAGGTTCAACTTATCGTAATATAACGAGGTTATTGAAAAGAGGGTCTATTCCCCTAAATTAAATGTTACTAAATGTCTAGAAACAATCTGGCTGCACTTTGAAATTTTCACTTTAAAGGGAGAGTTTACTCAAGGTTCTAGGGTTATTTTCAGCTAATTTAGGTTATAATTACGCTACATAAAAAGTTTCATGGTTCAATCACCATTAGAAATATTTTTTTTAATGTTTTTAAACTAACGACTACAGTTTGATTACAATGACGGTGGCGCCACTCAAAGCGCACGATCTGATAAATTGCGCAAAACCACTTTCCAGCCAAGGGCTACAGACCGAGGGTGGTTCTTATTTATTCATTTAAAAGCAAAAAGATTGTAATATCTTATAAACGACATATAGTTTTCAGTTATAATATGGATAAATTTGCCCTAAAATGAATATCGTTCGGTTAAATAGCATTTAGGTATAAATATAATTGCATTTTTGTGATTAGCCCTCGGTCTGTAACGTGCAAAATAAATGGTCAAATACGCAACTTTTTCGGGTTGGCAGCACGGTCGCGGGTGTCATGGTGTCGTTCAAATTTCGTAGCGTTGATGTGTAATTAATTATAACAATTAAATTATGTATCTGGTAACAAATACGTGTGGGTATAGACGATTTGTTATACAGTAAGTACAGTTGTATGCAGTAAAATCCTAGAGGGTACTGTCCCTTTAAATGAAACTAGATGTTTAGACTTATATACTTGATATAATCAATTGTACATTAGCCAAAACATTGGACAAACAATTCACATAAACACTATAAAATAAAACTGTATATACATGCCTGTAATATCTTCGAAGATTTCTTCTGACACAGTTGGGAAATTGTGCATTTTCTGCTTTAGATTATATCTATGCCAGTCCAATTTGTAATGATGAACCTGCAAACAGATGACAATGAAGTGTGAGGCTTAATCACAAAAATATAAGCTAATATGCTATACAGGGTTATGTATGGTGGATGACCTTGTAATTACTAACAAAGTAACCTATTTTTTAACACTTATGTTATTCCAATAAAAGATTTTCCTGTGAAACCATTTTTGTAGGAAATCATAGAAAATACCATATAAATAATAAATAATGACGATTGTTATCTTTGGAAAAAAAGCTGAAAAATGAGTATCAAGCTTATTCCAGCTCATATAAATACAACTCGAGAATCCCCTTCAGCTGTGGTTTCAGATAGTGCCAGTAATTTGTGTACATGCAGTTATTTCTCACAACATCATACATCTCAACCTTGCTGAGAACTGACACAGTGAAAATGCTGTGTATAATTTAGGCAAAAAACACATTGCCCCCAGACAGGTGTGACAGTTTACTGTACAACTGTAAACAGGTTCATGTGTATATTGTTAAAATTATGCAAATTGTGAGACTGTATGTTTGGCAACACGATTTTCGCAGGAAGACATTAATGTGTGAAATCATAAAAGATTATCACATTGATTCATCATGATATTTATAGACCACCAGCCTGTCACATTGTGTCCCTCATATTTTGCCAGCCAATTTACCTACACATAGCAATTTTGAATAACTGACATATTACACTACCTGATCTTTTCTGTCTGTGAAACTAATACAACATGCAGTACATGCCATCTTCTCTGACACACTGAACTCCAGTCTTGTGTTTTGATGAAATTTACCTTCTTCTCCATCTATAAATATACCACAAAACCCATTAATATAGATCATATCACATTCTTATGATACAGACAGGCAAAGCAACCTATATTATAGGTAGCAAAATACCATTAAAATACCATATAGGGTTTTTACGAACAATTTATATTACATGAGTTACATCAGGAGTATATTAACAGGTTACACTGCTATGTTGACATGTTAGAAGAGATTAGAGATGGAGGAGAAATAGGGAATGACAGGAATAAGAGGATCAATCGTAGGTTGTTAAACTGCAAGGAAGTGGAAGGTGGTGGGGGGAGTAGTAGGGTAGTGGTATGGATGGTGGTGATGGTGGATGTGGGTGATTATTATCATAATGAACATACAAGGAAAGCAAAAGAGAATGAATAAATAAAAATATTAAAAAATAGATAAAGAAGAGAATTTTAAGGTGATTACTTCATAATTTACCTTCAATCACTGAAAAGTTATTAAATAACCGATTCTATATATTGAGTTTTTGGCTGGTATATACCCCTCACAACTCTGTATAATCAAGCTACTATCCATCGTCTTTGGCCTCTCATCCTATACTAGCTCCTCTTGCCCATCTATCCGTATGCTCCTTCATTTCCTCTCAACTAACTGTAGCTTTTTACCAACTTCTCAAACTAATTTCCTCCTCCAACACCACTTTAATCTTCCCCTTCTCATTACAATTAGTGCCTGTCTTCCCATTCCTATGGCAGTTACAATTGTTGCTCTACCCCCCATGAATTAGCAGAATATGCATATGTTATCCAGGGTTCTTCCTAGGAATTCCTGGCATGTCGTTTATTGAGTGATGAGGGGGGGGGGTGGAGGGGCTGAGAGTAGGTTATATCAATTGGAATAAAATGTGAACACACAGCATGACTGTGTAGGAATTGTCAAACATAAGCAGCTGGAAATTCAGGCATGTAAGTTAGGCAGTTTATGATATTTGGTCCTATATGATTATGACAATGTTTCAACTGGCTATAATTTAATCCTCCAACAGTTAGGTGGGTAATTTCTAAATTACTTATCTGCAAGACCATACGATACATAACTTTGCCTTGGTAAGAAACGTTAAACAAGTAATGATAGCTACGTGTCTTCCCAATGCAATGGCACACTACTACTACTAGCGCTAAGCAAGGTTGAATAGAGCACCTAACTTTTAAGCTAAAATAGCTTTCTTCCACACCACCACGGTTTGGGTAAAGCTAAAGCATTGAGCATGGGTAACTGCTCAGTTAGCTCTAGTAACTATAGCCCGCGTACAGTTGCCGCTGGCTGCCAGCTGCTGCCAGGCGCCTGGCTGCCAGCGGTAACTGTACGCGGGCTATAGCCTATAGGCTATAGTATAGACCGTATAGTATACTGCTCAGTCTGCTGCAACAATTAAAACCTGTTCTCACACTGTCACAGTCACACCTTTCCAAAAACAAGTTGCTGTCTGTACAGTCAATTGATTTGACTAAAGATTAAATTGCCATTTGGCTTATGAATGCGAATTTACTGCTGCAATGAACTTTTAGAATTAATGTTTGCTAACTAAAGTAACTTAAACTTACATTCTAGACAATGTTTCTCTGTCGTTCCTAGTTCAACAACACGCAAACCTTCAAGAACTGGTTCGTGTTGTTTATCATATAGTTTATAAACCTTATACTGTTTTGAAGATGCCTTGTCCATTTTAATAAGTAATCACAGGTCACACTGTTCACATTGGTTTTAAAATTGCATAAACATATAAACAACGAATACGCAATCACATTATTGCATAAATGTTACAGTAAGTTAACACCTGGGCGCTGACATTAGCCGGATGCGTGCACTTGTGTTTGTGCATGACAAACCGGAAACGGAATTCCCCCCACCGATCACGATCAAGATGGTTGATGCTCTGGTTAGATATAGGAATTTTATTGCAAGTCGCAATTTGTACAGTACTTCTATCCCAAGTATTTTTTTACATGAGATTTTAACTACACATTCAGTTCATAAAGAGGAATGCTAGACCTATTCTTGAGGACGGTCTAGTGATAGTTTAATTCAGGACGTCCTAAAAATGGGAATTTTAATTTCCAAAATATGGAGCTTGTTTTCAAACAAGGGTAAGCAAGTTATAACAAACAAATTGAAACACAATTACGAGTATTCTAATCCTAATCCGACACCAGCCATATGCCTAAAGATATCTCTCTCTCACACACACTTTTAGCTCTCTCTCTCTCACACACACACACACACCTCTCTCTCTCTCTCACACACACACACCTCTCTCTCTCTCACACACACACACCTCTCTCTCTCTCACACACACACACCTCTCTCTCTCTCACACACACACACCTCTCTCTCTCTCTCTCTCTCTCTCTCACACACATGTACCGTAGTATTTGGACGCTCGCCCGAAACTGGACTCTCCTAAGTGCGCATGCGCGCAGGCGCCTCTTGTTTTGCAAGGGCGCACACAGCGCATGCGCAGTAGTCATCTGCACATCTTGCCCATCGAAACGGTTGCAATAAACAAACATGGCGGACTTCCCGGTCACTGACACTGATGGAAACATTTGATTGAAACAATTTGCAATATGTAGTAAAATTAGTAAGACTGTTATGTGTGTCAGGTTACAAGGCGAAACA